CCCCGATATGTTGGAGATCCGCCAGGATTTTGCGTGCAAGTTTTGGACCAAGTATCATGCGTACGCTGCCAGCGAAATCATGAACGTCGACGAGACCGCCGTATACTACGACATGCCCCCTGGCAAGATCTGGGCAGAAATCGGCAAGTCGTCCAAGGTCGACAAGAAGCAGAAGCATTCCGACCGTATCACTGCGGTGTTGACATGCCGAGCTGATGGTACGTCGTATTGCATGAATGGCTATTGACGATGTTGTGTGTAGGGTCTAAACTACCCATTTTATTCATCGTCCATGGCGTCCCCGGTGGTACAATCGACGAAGTGGAGCTGGACACCTATCCAGAAGAGCACTACTACAGTGTCCAAGAATCGGCGTGGATGGACAGCCGCGTGTGGAAAGCGTACCTCGAGATTTTGCCGCCGTACATTGAAGGCCCCACGGTCATAGTCGCTGACAACTTCGACGCCCACGTTACGCAAGAATCCGCCAATGTCATCGCTGGTGATCTGCACAGCGTGCTCGAGCCACTCCCTGCCAACTGCACAAGTGTGTGTCAGCCCTTGGATGTAGGGGTTATGGGGCCGTTCAAGAAGTTGTTGCGGACACTGTGGCTCGATGAAGCGCCTGTCACTTCAGCTGCAGACAAGCGACGTGCTATGATTTTGCGTTCAATCAAGGCCTGGGAAATGATTTCTAGCGACGCAATCCAGAAATCATTTCAAAAAGCAATTCCGCGTCCCCACATTGTAGTTGTGTAAATAATAGATACTGTGTTGTGATCTTAATTATGTGCTCGGTAAGAGTGTTCTCTGGATAACCCCCCGTCGTGAATCCAATAGAATTCTGTAGTAGGTGATTAAAAATAATAATGTTGAATATTTTTGTCATGTTGTACATCACTTGACAAAATATATCCCTCGGTGGGATTTGAACCCGGGGCACCTGCATTGCAGACTGTGTACTTAGTGCATTTAGCTGCAGGATACATGAAAAGGGGGGGCAAAAAGTGGATTTCGAGGTGGTGTCATCACCAGGGAGAACGATCGTCCCTATAGCGTCGCAAAGAAATGACTACATCAACTGATGCAAATACCTACCCCCGAAAGTACATCTAATGGTGGGCCCATGATAATTCAAATGTTCCGTACTCCGACGACGTCCTTATGATATGACCCAACATCTACGATACCGTATATTTCCTCATGTAACGTTACGCTCGTAATTTCTACCAATCATATCTAACAATAAAAAAGTAATGAATATTATTACTCTGGCGACATCCCCATACAAAATTTGCTGTAACCCCTGTCGGATATTTCCGGGGTTCTCTGTAATATATCTCTATAAATTTATAATTTCATACCTCAAAAGCCGAAAATACTATATACTTTACAGTAAACCAGTTTAAAATTCTGCAACCACTGATGCCTGTTTGAGCGACAAACTTTGCCATTTTTATTGCCCTGATTAAAACTCATTAAATGGATCTGTATTCGGATGATGGGATAAAGCTTAAACTAGGGATTCAGCACTACCACTTTTACGTCGTGGCCATTTGAACTTCACGAGATATGGTCGAATGAATGCAGGTCAAATTCGGCTGCTCACTGATCCGTCACGTTAACTGTCAAGAAAAATACAACACCCTATTACAGTACGTATTCTGATTTAAGTCTAATCATTTTGGCCAATGAAAATGCGCCTACAATGCACATTTTTCAACCGCGGGACAATAAGGTTAACGAGGAATGGCGGCCTAGTGTAAATGATGGAGACTAAACGGCCTTACCTTGAGCCGACCTCTGAATGGGCTCATAGGTCTTTCTGCAGTGCCATTCAGAACACGGTGGCATCATCCCAGACAGCTTGCCTTACACGTTTGATTGTGTTGGACAGTCTATGTTGTAGGTAAATATGGATTTACTTTTCCAAATCACAACAGTACGAAACAGTCTCGTTGATTGGGCATTCATTGCTAACGCGAGTCAGCTTCGGAATCGATACAGTCAAACTTGCCCGTGGGTACGGTACAACGATGGAACAACGAGGTGATTAGCATGACGTGGCGCTGTTCTGGGTCAGCTCGACAACGTACGCAATCGAGAGCTTGGTGAATTCTGCCATGTGGTTGAAATCGATGTTGGCGATCGTGTCGTTTTGGGAGTGGATGTTGCGGTTCAAGTCCTTAAAGTCGGTTTCAAACGGAAACGACCCGGGGTACCCCGTCGCGTTCCACGAGAAATGGTCCGAGCAGCCGTAGCCGCACACTGTGTGGGACACGGGGATGTCCAAGTAGGCCGCGACGAGCGTCTCCAAGAACGTGTTGAGTTTCTTGTTGGTGAAGTCGGAGATTAAACTCACGACGGGGGTCGTGCCAGGCCGGACGTACCCCGTCATGTCCTGCTGCATCTGGGCGTACACGGATGTGTTGGCCTTCGCATACTCCGCCGCCACTGCCTTCGACCCGCGCAGGCCAACTTCTTCGGCGGAGTACCAGTGAAACTCCACGGGCCGAATGGGGGTCCACTTAGGGGTCGACAGCAAATACTTCAGTGACTCCAAGATGGTCACGGTGCCCGACCCGTCGTCGTCGGCCCCGGGGGCGATGTTGCGCTTGACAGGGTCCCTTCGGTCTTTCGAGTTGATGGAGTCTTGGTGCGCACTCAAAATGACAATGTCGTCCTTCACAATAGTAGTAGGCTCGACGCGGGCAATCACAGAGTACTGTCCCCACGGGTGGGTGAACTGTCGCACGGTGACTTTGACGTTGGGGTTAGTCACCACCGTGGCAGCCAACTCGACCACTTGGTCGTAGATCCACCCGCACGACTGCGCGCCTTCGGTCGAGTTGTAAAGGCGGTTCGCAAACTTGTTCACAAAGCTCTCCAGGGACCGCTTCAAGTCGGCTGTTTGAATCTTGGCGATGGCCCCATTCACGAGCTTGGGATACGTGGCCACGGTCGGGTACGGGGTTGTTGCTAGGAGGGCACTTCTATGGAGGGTGCTTTCCTCGGCCTGGCGAGCCGCCCCCAACTCGAGCACGCGGGTCCAGTCGCCGTCGGTGTCGTCCAAGAACCCGATGTCGCGGAGTGTTAAGTCCGCCACTTGGGCGTCGGTCATCCACTCGGAGTGGTCGGCTGAGAGCCGAATGAGGCGCTTGCCGTCATGTTCGCGGGAGGCAAAAGCGATGGCGGCAGCAGAGAGGAGGGCGAGCTTCATGGCACGAACGTGATGAAAATGAAAATGACAACACAAGTTGACACGGGTTCTTGGGGAACTACTGTTCACGTATTATACTAGTAGTAGTTAGCGATATCTAACCATTGAAATGCGGAATAATTCCCTCATTAAAACAGTTCCACTGTTGTTCTGACCCGAAATACTGTTTGTCAACAAGTGAATTATGACATCCGGATACACGTTTAGCCAGCCCTGTAGCTTAGGGCTGCGTCCTACCCCCGATAAGACATACTCCAGAGTAGGAACTAACTGTAACTGTAAATCCCCGGGGTTGACTGTATCACCAGTAGTTGGCTATCGCTAACCAGATAGATACACTTATCCCCTACTAAGAGGGAGGTGATCAGAGAATACTACTGTATGTAAGTCCCATATCAACACAAATTGAAGTTTTTACTGAGAAAAACAACAGGGAATTATATCTGAAATGACTGTTTTGGTTTGCACTGCATTTGACGATTTAAAAATAACAAGAACGAGTGAAATGATATCGCAGGGAATTGCTGGTGCTTGGGATATCCTGATTCATTCATGGTGATAGAGGGTCAAACAATATGGTGGGATGTTGTATCCCGTAGTAGTAGAGCAATACCCTCGCTGCAACCCCGAAACCCCGTAATCATTTTTACCAAGAGCCCCTGTAACCCCGAAACCCCTCTGGACCCCTTGCGCTTACATACAATGCTATTCCCGGGGGTAGGGGTTGTAAGCTGAAATGCGTTGTTTTGAATTGACACTTGATATGACTAAGCGCCAGAAATAACTTGGGATTTGTATGCAAATGATTACGGAACAACAGTACTACTCTTGCAGCGAGGGAATTGTTAGTACACTCGGATATTTTCTTCGACGTACCACAGTACTGCGTACTACTAGTATTACTGTTGTCCTATTAATAGTACTAGTATACCAGAAGGCTTAAATCTGTAACGTCAGCTGACAACTGTACACTATTACTACCTCTGTCCGATTATGAATGCACGTTTTTGGTTTACAGTTAGTTGAGTTATTTTACTGTTAGTTGAGTTATTTTGCCCAAATGATAGAATATGGGGAAAGAAAGTACACTTCCGGAATGAGGAATGCGTGGGCTATCCGAATTAGATATTATCAGCTGAATTATCTAGAAACCAGACACGAAATTAAAAAAAAACCCAAAACATACAAAGTACCTGTATAATAATGCTTACATTTCTAAATTGCAAGCCTACCACCCCCGAATATCCGGATAAACACATTCGTATCCGGCTATATCCGGCAATCTTTGGCGCCAAGCTCTTGGCGGGCTTTGCTCACTTTGTCCAGTCCAGTCCAGTCATTCTGAAAGATGCTCAAGGGGCAGAAGAAGAAGAACCTTACAGACAGTGAGTGCAACAGCATGGTTCAACACCTGCTGTTGCGGTGCACCAAAGCCGGCTCGATACCCATGGGAGCGGCGGACGAAGTGTCTCAGTTGTTCGACTGCCCACCATCAACCGTTCGCCGTATATGGCGTCGTGTGTCCGTGAACCTCTCAGGAAACAAGACCATCTGACGCAACGTCAGCCAGCGCAAGACGAGCACATGTGGACGTAAGCGCCTACACAAGGACCTGCCGAAGCGCATCCAAGCCATACCGCAGTCAAGGCGCTACTGTTTTCGCTCGTTTGCCCATGACCTGGGCATGCTAAAGTCGACCCTGCACAACTACTTCAAGCGAGGCGTCTTTGCAAAGTACTCTAGTGTCCTCAAGCCTGCATTAACGGAGTCCAACAAGGTGTGCCGCCTGAAGTGGGCACTCGATCATGTTTGTGACCGTGACGGCGCCAAGTACTTTGACGACATGTACGACACCGTCCACGTAGACGAAAAGTGGTTCTTCATGAATCGGGTCCAGAAGAAGGTCTACGGAGCCATTGGTGAGAAGATCAAGCAGCGGTCTTGCAATCCAAGCATCACCTTCTCAAGGTCATGTTCTTGACGGCTGTTGCCCACCCACGTTGGGACGAGACGTCTGGGAAGTGGTTTGACGGCAAGTTGGGGACGTGGCACTTTACCGAAATCGTCCCAGCTCAACGCCGGAGCGGTCGGCGTGACGCTGGGACACCGGTCATGACGACTGTATCTGTAACTCGTGAGACGTACAAGGCAATGCTGGTAGACAAAGTCATACCTGCAATCCGCGCCAAGTGGCCTGGCGGCGAGACCAAGGCAGTCAAGATCCAACAAGACAATGCCCGGCCCCACGTTCCTCCAAGTGATGTTGATGTCGTTGCTGCATGCAAGGCGGATGGCTGGGACATGGAAGTGGTGTTTCAACCGCCTAATTCACCAGACCTCAATGTCCTGGACCTCGGATTTTTCCGCGCCATTCACGCCCTCCAGGCCGAAAAGCACTCGAGTAGTCTTGAGGAGATTGTGGCTGCCACCGATGCTGCGTGGGATGTGGTCAGTACCAAGACACTCAACAAGAACTTTCTCACCCTGCAGAGATGCCTCCAAGAGGTTATTCTCAATAAGGGTGGGAATGACTATAAGATCCCACATATGAGAAAGGATGTATTGCATGCTCGAGGCAAGTTGCCAGAAATGGTTTCTTGTGATAGAGATGCTTGGAGTTTTGGTTGTGCGTACTTAAATGGTGCAGACTATTCTGCTCACATGCATAAGCTGCCACTTGAAATCATATATAGCATGGAAATGAGTACATTCTGCACTCAGATAGGGGCGCTAAACATTGTCGATGATACGGACGCTGACGATAACCTCGTCGCGGCTTTAGGTCTTGTAGAGTAATTGTCGAATAAGGTGTAATTATCCGAACACAAAAATGTACATTCTTTCTCGGAAATTCGATTTTCAAAAACGTGCATTCATAATCGGACAGAGGTAGTACTTCGTACTACATATTCCGAATCGACTTAATTATTGACTACTTCGAAGTACTATAATACGAACAAATGAAATGATACATTTGTATCATGCGCAGTTCCAGGTTAAAGGGACTGCGTCATTTCTTTGTATCACTTCATACTACTACTAGTATAGTACTACGTAGTAGTAGTAGTAATCAGTCCCGTAACCTGGGACTACGTTCTACCCCCGATGAGCACGTATGATGCTAACATGTAAATCAACAGCATCACCAGTGGTTTGATATCGCTAACCACTGAGATGCACCCCTAGTAAGAGGTGAGGTGGTCCCATGTTAACACACAAGTTGCAGTGTTTTCTGTGCGTAAAGCAACAGTGTTGGCTGTAAAATTATCGAACTTCGTAGTGTGTGGGGTTGTCATTAACCGGATAGCGTTGAAAAGTTCCGGTTATCCGTAAGTGGAAAAATTATCTGCCTTGTCAGGTCTGTGAGTCAATAGCAGTCACATTTCTTATCAGTTCGAAGTTTAAGAAGTTCCGAATTTGATACTGGTACTTAGGTACGATTAACACTAGTAGTATACTACTCTGGTCAGATAACTTTGTCCAATTGTGTTGACTTCATTAAAGTATCCTTGGTCGCTGCAAAACATCTTGATTATTGTATGGAACTCCATAGCAACCAAAAATTATATTGCATTTTTTTAACCTTCGATCTCAACTTGTTCTTGGGAATGCACAAGTTCCTCAAGATGAGGCTCCACTCCTAGGCGATGGTCCAGTTGAAGGAGTGCCGACTCTAGACTCGATGCATCAAAACGAACATTAAACGTTGTTAGGTCAGCAATTTTAGCGTCCTTGTTCATGCGAGGAAGCTTATAGTTATTACTCCCATGCAATCGACGTTTTCATAACTTTTTGCAATGTTATGAATGTTTTCGACACAGTGTCCATTGACAACTCATAAAACGCACTTTTTACAGAATCAATAAGCTCCTCAATTGTTCGAGTGCACTTTTGATGCTGTAGACTTTGAATAGAATTAAAAAATCCTAAATTGAAGACATTAAAGTCTGAACTATGTGGAGGCTGGTTGATGATGCCAACGTTTTGGATGCCGGCATTTTGCTAGAACGTTGTGGTTACTTGCCGGTGAGGACTTGCATTGTCTTGCTAGATGCGAACACCTCTTCGTAATTCCCCAACAGGGAATCGGGCCAAGACAGCAGGAACCACCTTTTGTAGCATAAACTCCTTGTAGACGCCACCGTTCACATTCTGGGGGACCGTCACGGGAGTTCTTTTCTCTCGGTTGATTCTCTTGCGCTTGGCTGCGACGATCTCCACAAACGGCCAAATTCCAATCTTGCCGTCGAAGTCTTTCTTTATCGCTGGATCATATCGCGGACGAGCGACGGCAGCAAGGAATATGACTTTGGTGATGAAATTCTTGGACTTCACCGAGCGCGCCGCCACTTCCTCGTCGTCGTAGACGTAGAATTTCTTCTTGACCCTCGTCAAATAGAACCACTTTTCATCAACGTGCACAATATCGTGCATGTTGGAGTCTCGATAAACATTGGCGTTGACGTTGACCAACGTTGTGACCAAAGTCCCAGCAGGGCGATTTCGTGACGAACGGACAGCAGGAACCAAGTCGACGAAGGGCCACATTCCAATCTTGCCATCGAACAAGACGCCGCGTCCTTCGTCGAAGCGTGGGCGGGCAACGGCGGCCAGGAACATCACCTTCGGTATGAACCTCTTGCTCTTCCACGATCGGCATGGAGGTGCCTCGTTTGCCAACAGGTACATGGTTCGGCGGTCCTTGTCCGCATTGAACCACTTCTCATCCAAGTGGACAACGTCCCATAGGGGGTCGAACTCG